GGCCCGGCCCGCCTTTGGGGCCCGAGCAGGGCTTGCTGCCGTTGCTCCCCGGCCTGCGGGGCCCTCCTGGGCTCCAGGGTTCGGCGCTGGAGAGGAAAGGAGCTTGCCGGGAACGGGAGCGGCCTGGCCGCCGGAGGCTGTTCCCGCCCGCCTGCGGGAACGGCGACATTTGTGTTGGGGCTGGGTGTGGCAGCGTGGCCGCCTGCTGCTGTCCCTCGTAGTCCTGCCTTTGCTTCGCAGTGACGGGACGTCTCGTGTTACTGTAGCCTAGCGGATGATCTCTCGCATGAGAAACTACAGTCTGCCTAATTGCTGTATCTTAACAACTAACGGTTCTGAATTGAACAGGTACTAAAAGCTTACTGTGCATTAAATAAAAAAAAATGATCAGGAGCTTCAAGTTAGTCTTGACTAGGTAATGACATACTATGAAACACACAGTACATCTCAGTGGGTCAGAATTTTTAAAGGAGCTTTGTTCTGTGGTACTTCAGTTGAAACACACACTTTAGGTTTAGTAATGGCTATGAATTATTTAACAGATGTTATGGTAGTGGTGGGAGGCCATTATGAGGAGGAGGTTTTAGTAACAACTTAATTATTACCATAAATAATTTACAGATTAATTCCTTTTCCACCATGGAAGCGTATGCATAGTTCTGTGAAGGCAGTAGAAGCACGCTCTTACTTCTGAAATTAGACAGTAGTTTGAAGGTTTGGCAGCAGTTGATGAGTGATATCTGCAGGAGATAATATAAAAATGTATGTTTATGTTACCGGAATACTCAGAAGTGGGCTCTTAGATACAGAGTCAGTTTAGCAGTCACTGCTGACTAATCAGAAATTATTTTTAAGAGCATTTCACCTCTCATCTGAATAGAATTGTGTATTGTATTTGCTTCTCACTGTAAGGTCTGCTGATAATTGCCTCCATTTTCAAATTAAAGTCATCCAAAATTAAGGGCCTGAAAATTCAGGCGCTAACCCATAAGAGTCTCAGTTTTCCTGTCTCTAAAGTGATTAAACACTGCCCTAGCTTTTAAACAGGAGTGCTACGCAACTTGGTAATCACACACCGCTGATTCATGGGATCACTGAGGCAGGAAACGTGTGTATTGAGGATTGAATACCCCAGAGTTCTTCCTGGTGAAAATTCTGTGGGTAATCGGTGAAGAACTAGTGCCTGGCCATTTTTCTAGATGAGATACTGCTATTCATACTGTTGTTCTTACAGTGTTGATGTGAGTGAGAAGTTGAACTCTTGTATTTATGAAAACCACAAAGAATAAAAGAAAAGTTTCCTAAGATTTTTAACTAGGGTACTTGTCACAGGTTTAATTAATTATTTTCAAAACTACATTAAACCCTCTAATTTCTCTCTCTTTTTCAGTAGCTTACTTGTTCTTCAAAGTTTGTTCTATGTCTATCCTATCACTGAAGGGAGCTTAGTAATTTTTAACGATATTTGGGCATGCTCAGACAATTGCAAGAGACAAGTTTAGAGCTGCTGTATCATCTCAGCAGAGTTACAGTAATCATGGTGCAGAGTAAAGTTGGCTCCTATGATGTTTGGAGTCTATTCTTTCTGTGACAAAACCCCCATTTTACTGTGCCAGTAGTATGGGTCGGGTTGTTCCATCGTAGCTGAGAGGGCACTTTTAACTGTCGGTCATGATTGTTTCCAGTTGTTGAGTTACACTCATCTGCCAGTGCTTGAGTTCTGGTAGATTTAACTGGTGTTTTGCCAGCTGACTGACTCTAGCAATCCATCTTGTCTTTTTGACTGAAACTACTGATTCCCATTGCCCGTTCATAGAGATGAGTGAACATGTGCCACACCATTAGCTGTGACAGTTTGTGATCTGTCACAGTAGTTTAAGTTGGGATGCTGGCAGCTTGGAAAGCTAACAGGGATATTTCTGTCACAGGCATTTTTTCACTAGAGCGGTCATTTGCAGCACAGTGACTAGAAGGGCATCTGGGGATAACAAGTCTTAAAACTGATATGGCTGGTCATGAAAAGCTCTTTAAGCTCCAAGTGACAGTCAGTGTCTTTCATAAAACAATTTCAAAGGGCTGAAATGACTTATGATCTTGTAAATTGTTACAGTATAGGCTGTGGGCTCGTAAATATACAAAGTTTTTGAAGTTACCAAATCACAGAATTTCTAAACCTGCTTGTCTCTGCTCTTCTAGGTAGAAGGATGTGAAAGACTGAGAAAGCTAATTCTATCGTACAAGAAAAATTTTTGGGTGCAGGAGGGGTTTATTCTTTACTTGTATTTGAAAACAGTGTCTATGAGTTTGAAATATCACTGGCCTCTGAATAATTCTAAGACAGAATTATTCCTGGTTTTGTACTTTGAGTCATCTGGGCAGGAATGATATGCTGTGATATGAAGGCACACATCAGCTGAAAAAGGAGGTTTATTAGGAAATGGCAGTAGGAGTCCTATTAAGTTTTCTCACAGTGGCTTACACCTAGGCCTTTTTTTAGCCTGTCAGTGGACTATAGTGTACAGCAGATGTTACTCTAGAATCTTTGGGAAGAAATAGTTGCTTCACATGATCACATATGCACAGTGGCTTAATTCTTAAGGTAAAGTTTTATTCTTAATAAATTCTAAATACATTCTTGTTTTCTTTTAAGGTGTTCAAAACCAGCATTTTTTAAAACAGTATTTTTCCTACATCTTATATGTTTTTAAGTACTAAACAGGAATAACTGTGTGTATGAAAGTTACCTAACAGATTATCTATCTAGTCAGACCATCTCCTTTGCTGTGTAATTTGGAAACTAACACTGAATTTAATAAGGCTGTTCTTTGATTAAAGAAGGAAGACTCAGGATTGTAGTTCTTTACGTACAAAATTGTGATAGTGCTGGGGTTTAAAACCAATGTAAAACAACTTGGTACCCATTGCCTTGCTTCAGAGTGGTGGGAGCATTCCTGTGTTTTGTTCTCATTGCTTCCTCATGCACTGTGCAGTGGATTTGGGAAACAAGTGCTGATGCATTCCGTATTCTTGTCCAGGACATTTGATGCTGTCAGAAGTTATCTTTAGCCCATATGTTCGGCATCACTTTTGTCGTCTGCCTGCTGTCTCCCTTTCTGGAGTGAGGTGCAGGTGCACACATGTGCATATGACTTGGGAATTCTGTGTCTCAGAGTACCTGTAGGTCATCTTGCTTTTAAACAAGAGTTCTATCTGTATTCAGAATTTGAGGGATACCCTATGTATTCTTTGGTTGGAGAGCCACCTACTTGGCTTTGTGAAATGAAAGTGCTTGTTACTTTGAGATCTTGAGGAGAGCTTTAATGTCATAAAAATGGCAAAGGGGTGTAAAAGGATGTAGTTTATTAGTGATGATTAATGATCGGCTTGGTATTGGAAAGTGAAAGTTTATTTTTAGCTTCTAGAAGATACACAGTTCCTTTAAATGTAACTTCAGATTCACTATGTGTGTTTCTTTTTAGTGCTTTGGCAGTTAAAAATTGCAATTCCTTGACAAAGAGGATAGACTGGCAGTTGTTATTTTGATCTGAATGTACATAAAGGGAAATAGTGTGATTGGAAATGGATTTGATAGTGGTGCCATTTAGTCTAGAGTTTGTTTAACCTCAAGGTTGTTGGGGTTTTTTTTTGAGATTTATTTTTAAAAACACTTATTTTTAATAAAAAGCCTCCTTTGGATTAACAGCAAGTAAAAATTTCAAGAATGTGTCATGGTGCAGTGTCAAGATATTGGTCATGCAGACATAGATAGCCCTGTAAATCTCAGAGTAAAATACATGAACTTACAGGAGTCTGCCAGCCTGAGTGCATGTTTTTTTGTAGTGGTGATTCTATCATCTGTTAAAAGATTTGAGCAATTCCCATGAACAATATGTTTTTGTATGATAGTTAATCGATTTGAGAATTGACTAAAGTTAAAGATCAAATTAATACAATAGAAGTGTGATGAGGTAGAAAGGAAATTTTAATTTTTGAATATACTCTGTAAATACTAGCTTACTTTGGAAATGACATCTGTTTGACTTATAATGAATGCCAAGCCTTTCCAGTGTCCCCGTATAAAAATGGGGTCTGGATGGAATTAGGCATAATTGCTGTCCTGTAGAAGTCTTGTATACTTTTGTGATGTTAATACAACATACCAACATAAGTTTTTGTTGTGTTTGTTTTGCCCTTTTGAAGCTTAACCTCGGAGACGATATTGTGAAAGTTGTAATCGATTGGAGCAAGCTTCAAAGCACATCAGCACTTCAGCCAACATTGCTCTTTAGTGCCCTTCAGCAGCATATTTTATGTTTGCAGGTAAATATTTCATTGGACATGTTCAACTTGACAAAAGTTATCAACAACTGATGTACTTGTATTACTGAAACTGTAAAATTTCAGTCATTTTGATCTTACGTTGTCGGACAAAATAGAATGCAAAAGCTTTATAGGCGTGGGATTGCACTGTGCTTCATAGGCACTCACACTTATGGATTTTTCAGAGTAGTGGTGGGAATAGCCACTGTAGGTGAGCAGGCTGAATAAATGCAGCCTCATTGATTTCCAGACTTGCATTGTAAATGTGATACATTTCCATCTATGGTGGGTTATAATTAAGCAATAAGGCACGGCAGGTGTGTGTCATGCTATGATAATGATTCCATGCGTTGGGTGAGTTTGGAGGCTCATGGAGTGCTTTCAGTGGTTCAAGAAGTGGCATTATCCCAGCATGACACATCCTGGAGTGTCTTACTGCAATTAAATATATTTTGAGCATAGGGTTGTTTTTTTTTTTTTTTTTAAAGAGTAATTTCTTTGACATTAATGTCTCATCTTGCCAAGTAGCCATTCACCATTACTGTCATTTCTTTTAACTATTTGAAACTTTCCAATCCTGCCAAAAGTATGTGGAATTTAGTTGCATGGCAGGGGAGGTGAGCTGTTTGTCAGCTGGTAGCTGAACAGGGTTTTGACCTTGACAGTTCACCTGTAAAAGGTGAGAATTTGAGTACCAGGTTTCGCTTCAACTAGTCAACAAATTATTTCAAGTGTGTTGTACTGAGAGGGTGAAAAACCAAGTTCCTGTATTTGCTTGTCTGTAGATAAAAGAAAGACACTTTGTTTTCCAGACATCCACCGAATCTTTGGTGGGATAAACAAAAAAAGAAAATATGCAAGATAAAAGCAAGTAAGAACTACATCCAGCTGTAAAAACACTGCAAATAGGAATTTGATTCCTTTTAGGAAATGTGACTGGTAAAATTCCTGTTGTTTTTTAAGAAAATAAAAATTTCTAGAGCAAAAATAAGCAGTTAAATTAAAGCTAGGTGAAACCGGTAAAAATTCAAAAAGAGAGTGTGACATGTAATACCAAAACTTCAGTACATATATATCTTATGTAAGAGTTATTGCAGTAGCATAAGCATTTATTTTTGCTACTACAAATATCAGTGCATTCTGTCGTTTAATTTCGTGACCTAAGTAGATAATCAACCATGTCAAGAAAAGCATGTGTTCAGGATAACACCTATACATTTCATTTCTGTTTTCTTTCATTCACTTGGGCAACTGCAGTTTCAAGTGGAGAATGTATTGCTGTGGTGATAAAGTAAAGGCTTTACAGTGTGAAAGCATTGGCTTTCATGTTGAGGAGGAAAAATACGAAGCCTTACTGTTCTGAGTAGGCTTTTGAAGGACATGTTAATTAAGTGGCATTGGTGCCAACGATTGGAGCTTTAATTTAGCTAGTAAACGACAAGTAGCAGGCAGATTTTCGCAGAAATTTGGGAGTTTTCCTATAGAAACCTCTAAAAGGCACAGGTCAAAAAGGCCAGAATCATGGTGTGCACGGTATTTAGAGCTATAGCTTTTTTTTTTTTTCATTTTATTACTGTGTTCCATCAAAGGCAGATGTTGTAATTCCTAAGATTATTTCAGTTGGTCTGGTTTAGAAATTGTAATAGTACCTGGCTTTTTGGTTTGAGGATTTTTTTGCCTTTTTTTTTTTTTTTTTTTTTAACCCTAAAATACTGTTTTCTTTGTTCAGCCTCTTTTAGAAAAACTCCAGTCATTGATTAAGGAGGAAAATATAGGCCATGTTGAACCTGCAGGTAAAACAGGAGGCCAAACTTGCGACACAAGTTTAGATGTTTGTGATGGTAACTGTCAGACTGAGGAGAAGTATGCAGGTTATGACTTGGGAGATCCAAAGGATGCTCGTATTAATTTTGATCCAGAAGTGGTCCAAATAAAAGCTGGAAAAGCAGAAGTAAGTGTCTTACCTAAAACAAACAAACAAACAAACAAACAAAAAGACCTTTTTAAATTTAAAGAATGAAATAGATACATGTCATCATGTTTATTACCTGCAGATTGACAGGAGGATATCAGCCTTCATCGAGAGGAAGCAAGCTGAGATCAATGAAAATAATGTCAGGGAATTTTGCAATGTTATTGATTGTAATCAAGGTAACTGGCTAGCCAGAATTTAATCTTTGTAGCACTTTAAGTTGGTTGTTATTTATTTATTTATTATTACTTTTTCTAAAGCACTATACTATATTTTAAACAGAACTTCAATTTTAAAAGCAACTTTGTTTCAAAGTTAAGAACTTGCATGTGCACTGCAGATGACAGAAAAAGAAAAAAGAAAGTAGTCACTGGATTACAATGTTTAATGCAGCCCATAGAGAAAAATTATAACTGTTACCGTGTTCGTTAAGTAGTGCAATCTTAAATAAGATGATTTTATAGCTATTGTTCCCAATGTTTTAGCTAGATGTTCCTACCAAAGTCAACAATTGCAATTCAGAAATGTCTTGTGAATTGCATATTCAAATTGAAGTTAATTTAATGCTAGTTAAATTACAATGAAGTATTTTCTGCAATTAATTTGAATTACTAGCTAACTAGAATAACTTCTTCCTTTCAACATTACTCACACTATTGGTGGTTTTTAGTGCACCAACTGTCACAATTGTCTGTATCTATAACCAAACAATCTTAAATCCATCTGGTAGGCTGGATCCCATTAGTATGATCATTAACTCTGTAACCAAATGGGTCTTAAAAGTGATGACACTTTTATATACATAAGTAGCACAGAGACATTCTTCTAAGTACCTGTGAACCCAGACGAGCATTGTCTGTGTGATGTACTTATGCTTTTAGAGATCAAAGCTTACTCTTCTGTAACCTTTATAGGAAGAGAGTTTAACTCCTTGAATGTTAGTTGGAATGAAAACAACATGTGGACACTAGTAGCATCTACTAGATAGTAAAATATTGATTCCTAAAATTTTTAATTTTGTACAGAAGAAATAATGATAAGACCTTCCTTTTTACGTTTAGGCATAATAAAATACGTGTAAAGCTTTGGTGTGTATGAACAGAGATTAAAATATAAAAATTAGAGCAAACTAAGATGGTCTGTACTGTTGGTTTTTATGGTTGAACAAATTAAGGAAGTCACAGGCATCGGAATAAATGCAGGGAAGTGAGAAAAGAATATTGATGAGTAAACTAGACTAGGCTATAAATAGAAGAACAGTTTCAAAAAAGAGCATAAAAACAGAATAACTGGTAAGCAGGAAAAGACTTGTGTACAGGAAGAAAGAAATAAGTTACAGAGAAATGCAGTGAAAAGTAAGAACCAAATAAAACGTAGATTTAAAGAAATTTGGTCCTGATCCAATAAACTTCTATATACATGTATGCATACATTTATAGAAGTCACTCACCCAGTTAAAACCAGTAGGTCCATGCAATTGTGTGAAACTCTTAAATGAGCAAGTGTTTGTAGAAAGAATGAAGTATTTTGGATGCTTTTGTTGCATGAAAGATTTTGATTTTTTAAAAGCCTCAAAGCTGATGATGGTTAGAATACTTTAAATTATAAATACATAATTAGGACCTCACTTTTTATATTATTATTATTTATTTAGAAAATAGCTGTGCCAGAACAGATGCAATTTTCACACCCTATCCTGGATTTAAAAGCCATATAAAGGGTAAGCAACTGTTTTAATTATCATTTATTAAGAGTGTCTGTATGGACCAGTGCTGATGAATTTTGGACTTTGAGCATGCTATAAAAAAATTTTTAAAAATACTAACTTAGCATAGTTTTGAGTGTAGTGAATACATTTACATTTTAGCTTACTTCTCCAAGGTTGTCAGTCCCATAACTGCTTCAATAAGTAGCCTGTTTTGTCTGAAAGAGAAGACTGAAAAGTTAAAGCAGGACAGAGAAGCTGAACTTGGCTTTTCTTCTGAGGTGAAGCCAGCAGTCCAGTTAAGGAATTGACATGAGATCAGATACTACTCTATTTTCTATTAGTTGGTGTAAGTATCTTGAATTAGAAAATAGACTTGGGACACAGTGGAAGTTCTGAGACATGGATTTATGGGAAGTGACAAGCTGGGGACCAAATTTACCACTACACTTACCTTTTAGAAGGAGTAAATCGTGTAGAGTGGTAGTGTTCAGTTATCCACTTGATACTGGTTCTAAATAGCAATTAGTTTTTCTGAATTCTAGAAGCTTGTGAAATACAATGATAGGTAGTAACATTAAAAGGTCTGGTGAGCAAAGGGTGAGATGGGCAAGTGAGTTTGAGTTTAGAATATTTCACTAAGAACCCCTTTCAGTAGTCACTTTTTTAAACTGAGCGCTAGTTTGCAGTTTGGATGTTAGTGTATTACAGGAAGAAAGAAAAGTTTGCACTTTGAGTAACTAGATCCCAAACAGTTTGTAACTGAAATGTGAATAATGCTTAGAAAGGAATTGGAATTAAAACCAGCATAAACTGAAGCAGGA